CCCCGCTGCCAGCCGCGCCCAGAGGAAATCCAGGGAATCCTCCAGGTGGGCATGCAGCCTGAGGACCTGCCGGCGCGTGCTCCCCCGGTCCCCGGAGTTGTCAATGACGTGACTCGCCAACTTGCACTTCTTGTCCAGTGGCAGCTGGGAGGTGATGCGAGCTTCGGCCTCCGCCTGGGACAGCCCGTTCCTCTTCATCAGCCGGGAGAGCTGTGTCGGCGGGTCGCTGCGGGGATGGGGGAGCGGCACTGAGATGGGGGTGCGGGAGGGAAGAGGGGGATTGCCTGCCTTCCTCAGCACGAGGGGGAAAAGCTGGGGCGAAGCGTGGGGGAGAGGCACTCCCAGCTTCATTTCAGATCTGGTGCCGGCATCCAAGGCTCAGCTCAGTAGAGCCAGCCCCTGCAGCGCCGCCCAGGCTGATCCTGCTGCCTCTTTTCAGCATTCCCATGGCCAGGGCAGTGCCCCAAACCCTGCCCCAGCCAACACAGGTTGTGGAAGGCCCAAAGAGAGAGATTTTCCCTGTATGATGGTGCCAGGTTTTGAGGAAACCTCAGTAATAAGCCCCTCGTACGCTAGAATTAAGGAAGGTGTTGCTTCTCATGCCTACAGAACAGGTGTCATGGGAAGGCTTTGCTCCAGGGCTGCAGCTAATCCTCACTGGAGCAGGAGGGACATGACGGTCCCCTCCAGCCTCTAAGAGAGGTGGCAGCATCCTGGGCCTCACGGTTCACGTGGCACTTACCAGTAAACCAGGACCGTGTATTTCATAAACTTGGTCAGTCTGTTGGTCTCGAAGAGCAGAGGGATGTCAAGGATCACGTAGCGGTAGCCTGCAGAAATGACAACACCCCCAAAAAAAGGGAATAGCATTACTCTGATTCCCAAATCCCTGGTGCTGCCCCAGCTGCTCCAGCAAAGCGAGCGGGAGAGCTCTACAGCTCCACGATTACAGCCAAGAGGAGAGCACAGCCTGCTTGCCCTTCTCCCTCTCAGAGGGAAGAAATGGGTTCGTTCCAAGTTTCCAGAGGAAAAAAAACCACCACAAACCCCCCTAACCTGGATGATCTCAGACCAAAGGTGAAGCTGCAGAAATATAATGAGGAGCTGAAACAAGCAGCTCAAATGAAAGCGTCAGTGCCTGGCTGGCGAGAGCGGCAGTCACGCTCTCGCTGCTGGCCTCTCCGGGGCAGCAGTGCCCACAGCAGAATTTGCTCTCCTACACTTCTCCAAGGTTTTACCAGGCTGCGGTCATTTGAGCTGATGCTTCCCAGTTCAGTTTTCTTCCCCTTTTGGAAATCTTTGGCTAAACAGTTCCATTTTGCCAAGGGGAGCAAGGCAATCCCCACAGACCTCTCACAGCCGTGACACTGAAACATGAGGGTGTCTCCAGGCACAGCCCCAGGGCCTGAAACCTCACCAAAACTGGCTGTGTTTGGTTTAAATCTGCCGTCACCACGCGGAGCAGCCAGCAGAGGAGCTTGGAACGGCCTGTCGCCATCCTCCCGGAGCCTGCAGCCCACCCCAGGCTCTCCCTGTGCCTCTGCCCTTCACAAGCGCAACTCCCCAGGCAGCTGGCAGCATCTGGGGACCGTGGGCTACGGGCAAGGGGAGGGGCAAGCTGTAAGTCAGGACCTCGCTCCCCTGGCATCCCCCAGCTGCAGGGACACCTCCAGTTTTTCCGGTGTCCCCTCTGTCTAAGTCAACCCCCCCAGCTGAGCTGGCCACAGCAATAAAAGCCTTGACAAAGACATCATCATCCGACAAGGCACCATTTTACCAGCATCTCCGCCCAGAGAGACTTCTTGCTGCCCTACGGTTTGATCGATCAGAGCTTTCCTTACACAGCGATCCTCAGAGACAGCATCCAGCTCTCCCAAATCATTAAAACCTGACTAATGAGGACAGAGCAGCCTGCTGCAGACACACGGTGCTTTCGCCGAGGGGCAGGACAGCATCCGCCTCCTGAGCCCGCAGCCCCGGGTTCAAGACTCCACGTCTGGCTCCCGGCCTTCCTGCCTGTTGCTTCCTTCGCGCCATCTCCTCCTCCTCCACCCGCAGCACAGCGCGGCCCCCGCGGTGCCCCAGCCCAGGCCTATTCAGCTGTCACAGGGCTTGGCTTTGATAAGCTGCGCAAAACCAGACTGACTCTATTAAGACGTCCTTCTGTCTACACGGAGACCTCCAAACCAGCTGGTGATCTTATCTGGCGCTTGATGGGACCCAGTCTGACAGCTGTATTTGTTATATTTATCAGGGGAAAAAGGGGGACTTTGGAAACCACAGCTGTCAGCCCATTTCTCACCTTATCGAGGCTAAAAGGGCTCGGCAGCTTTCACTGAAACCCGGGGAGGCTGGGGGCAGGGAAGAATATTTGGCTGTTTCGGAAGGTATGACATTATCCAGCAAGTAATCTCAGAAGAGGCTTCACCGTGCTCTCCTCAGGCCCTACAGATGTACTTTAAACCACAGAAGAAGGTGGTGAAGGGCAGCAGCGAAAGGCAGGAACGAATCCTCCAAACGCCGACGTGAAAGGCCACTGGTGGCAGAGCACAAAGGCTGTCACTCAACGCCGGTTCCGCTTCTCCTTCCCCACCCCTCTCCCCACTTTAAAACAGTGAGCAGGGACGGCTGCCGCACGAGCAGGAGTCCCGGTGCGCCGGGACGGGGCCTCTTACCTAGCACAAAGTACTTCACGATCTGCTTCAGCATCTCCTTCTGGATCTCCGGGTGGGTGATGGAGTTCAGCAGCTGCCGTTTCTCCGGATGGGAGAAGATAATGTTTCCTAGAGCCTCACGATTTATCTCTCCGCTCTCCAAGAGAATCTCGGTGCCGAAGTAATGCACTATCTGCCGATAGGCCTTGAAGTGGGGCTGCACCACTGATAACATTAAACAGCCAGAGGTTAGAGCCAGTTCTACAGCACAGTCAGTGTTTGCCTCAGTGATCGGCCTCAAACGCGTTTTGTTCATTAAATAACCGAGCTCATTCTCCGCGGCGGGCAGCACATCTGCCTGCCGAGCACATGCTGAAACGAGGCCGGCGCGGCTCAGCGCCGCAGCCCGGCAGACACCTGGCATGGGGGCTGCAGGGAAGCGCCTGCAGAAAACCCTCTCAGGCCAAGGTCCCTTTGAGCGCTGACACCCGAGAGATCGAAGCATCCTGCAAAGATTAATTCAGCACCACAACCCTCCTCATTCGTGCTGCTGCTCGGGGTTAGAAGTCAGCAGGGCGGGCGGGAGGATGCGCTGTCAGCTACCAGCCGGGCACGGGCAGGAAGAGGGGCTGAGCAGATTCCCAGTGCCTGCCGTGGAGTCAAGCAGGGAGATCCTAAAGGGTCCAGCACCAGTGTCACGTTTATGGTAGCTGAAAATTTCAGTGCCAGGTGAATACAGCCTGGCTGCTACAAGCTGCCTCTGGCTGCTACTGAGGTTTCTTTTGTTACTGTGTTTCACCTCAGTCACCAAATTCTTAGGGAAAACGAACCCAGAAACCTTCCAAGAGATCGGTTCCCAATAGGTATTTGCAGGGACTCTGATGTTACATGAGTGTATAATTTTAAAGCCACCAAAAAATCACCAGCAGAAAGGATGCAGTAATAACACCATAATCAAGATCAAGCTGAGGCGAACCACAGAGAATGACAGGCCGTGGATAATTTTCTCTCCAAAATCCAGGAACATTGCCACAGGTTGTAACCTCAGGCCAACCTAATAAAAGTCTTTAAGACCAATTCCTTTCTCCCATGGAATTTCACATCAAGGCAGTTTCAGGGTGGGTGAAATCCATATAGTAAATAAACACATATAAAAAAGGAATTGGAGAAAAATGAAGTGATTGGTAGAAAACCGACACGGAGTATCTGTAGTGTTTTCCTATAGTCTCTGAGGGCTTTTAGCACCTCCAGCAAATTTTCTGCACCTCAAGGGGAATTACAGTGCAATAAAACGTTAAGAGCATCACAGCTTTGCGTGGCTACACGGTAAGTTCTTCACCAAATAGAAACGCGCAGGCACTTCAGAACGACACCACCTGCACCACTGCTCAGCTGCAGACCCGAAACCTGCTGCATACAGAATCAGCAGCCCTTCCCAGAGCCAGCGCTGCTCTCCTCCTCATCCCGGTGCTACGGAGGGATTAGCATCTCCCCCGGCGTGGTGTGGGTAATCAGAGAGAGCAGGATCTGCTCCGGTCCCGCTGCGGCAAGAGATCTGGATTCTTGGGTCTTTTCTGTAGCCAGGACAGCCCACTGCCGGAGCAGCCGGAGGCAGGTGTGCTGGGCAGAAGCACAGACCAAATTCCCTCTGATCTGGGATATCTGAAGGCTTTTTTTGAGTGTGTTAAGGCATAAGTGGTTTTGTGGAGCGATCTCTCGGTATCACCAAGCAAGTGACATCCAGCACCGAGGGAAATTCTCCTCCCGCGTGAGGGGGGCACCTAACGTGAGTGCGTTACGTGTGTCCTGGCTTGGGGGGCATCAGGCCAGCGCAGGGAACCCGCTTTACAGACAGCTATTTTGCCCCGAGTTCACAGCTGGGAAGCATTGCACTCCAGGAGGGGGAAACTCACTGCAGGGTCTCCCCACGGTGTTTGAGGACGTCATCTTATTTTTTATCTTTAATAAAAATATATCCTAGCTCCAATCTCGCCCGGGACAGCAGCTCCACGCAGCCTCATCCACCGGGGAACGGGAGGGAAACCCTTATCAAACGTACCCAGAGCACCCTCTGCCGTCTGCGCTTCCCCGCATCAATCCCAGTTGTCAGGGGAACCTCGGGAACAAAGATCAGCTCCGCAGAACTCACCCTCCCTGGCAATAACATCGGCATCGATCACGGCACAGCCCAGTTCCCGGAGTATGGCCACCACCGTGCTCTTCCCCGACGCGATGCCACCCGTGAGTCCAACCAGGAACATTGTGCTCTGAAACGAAAAGAGCTTGAAAACATGCCCCGACGGGGCTGTTTGGTTCATGCTGTGCCATCAAATATTTATCCCAAACAGGCAGCTCCATTCACAGCTCGTTTTGACGCGTTCTCAGGGCATTACCAAGACTTTACGATGGTTTGGGCACCCCTCTCACCTGGGTACCCGTTTTACAGGCTGAAGAACAGTGTTGGGTTAAGTGAGGCTTCCCTGGGCCCTGCTAACTGCACGTGCAACTTGAGCCAGCCCCACGTCCCTCCAGCTGGTTTACCTGCAGCTCCACGCAACTTGTTCCCTGTTAGCGTCTGCACCCATCAAACCACAGCGTCACCCCCAGCCCCTGAACTGGAGCAGGCTTCCAGCAGGGTTGTCAGGGGGGGCCCAGGATCCGTGAGAAAGGGGCAGAATTCAGACACCATCTCGGTGCAGACTGAGAAATGTGAGGCCTGAGAGGCAGAACCCTTGATCTCTACAGCCAGGGTGTAAGAGGAGATAAGGTACCTCTGACATCATCAGGACCCAAAGCACAGAGGCCAGTACGTAAATCACATTCCCCCGTTACCGGAAAGCCAGCCTCATCACTGGAAGCCCAGCAGACAAGCAATCATGGCTCTGAACAGCAACCTTGTGTCTGTTAGCTTGCGAACACGGCACTAGACGCAGAGTGCGCGCCTGCCGATGGCCTTGAGGCTGGGAGGGAGCCAGCAATCCCTCGGCTGATGCGAAGCAGGCTACTTCTCTCACAGTTTCTGCACTGAGATCTCTTCCCACTCAATCCAAACCCTGCAACTCTCTAGATCTGGCTTGCACCCGTTCACCAAAAGCCTCGGTGACACAGAAGCAGCTCTGGACAGGAGTGGGGACTCCTGTGACCAAGGTGGTACCTGCATCCCTGAAAAGGCAACAGCCACAGCAGGCTGTGAAAGCACGAGTCCTGCTGGACCTGGGGCAGCCGTGGCAGTCTGGGGAACAGACCCGAGGGTCCTCTCTGCAGCCCCCACACACCAACACTGTCCCCAGGCAAGGGCATCCAGGACTTCGTGCAGCCAAATCCTGCAACTAATTCCCCAAGGACAGAGCCTCCAGCTTTGCTGTCACCTTGTGACACCACCCTCAAAGATGAGGAGCCAGAAGCTCTCAAGCTCCAGTTCGTGGCTGTTGCCCTTTGCATTTGAGGAAACTAGCTCTGTCACCTTTGGCCAGGAGCCACAGGCTGCTGGTAGACACCCCTCAGCTTCCTCTTGAGGGAAAGGCTCAGCTCCCGCCACCTCTCCTGGTGAGCCATGTACCCCAAAACCCAACGATCTCAGTAACCATTGCTCTGTCCAATTTGGCTCTGGTGTCACACCACGGCTGCCAGCCCCAAAAACCTCTGCACATACAGGAACCAGGTACCTACCGCTGGCATTGTCCCCCACAAATGGGGAGTGTGCTGCTTAGCACTGGAGGGCAGCAGTCAGAACATGGGCCTGCAGGGTGGCTGAAGATGGGCAGAAACACAGCACTGCTTCCTTTTTGCTACAAAAAGCACTTTTGTCATAACTCGGTGCTGCAAACAGGACCCACCATCTGAGGGTGAGGAGGGGGGTGGATAAGTCCTTTGGCAACCAGAATCAATTCAGCAGAGGAAGGAACCAGGAGTTACAGCAAGAGCCAGCAGCACCCCTCACTTTGTGGCTGCCGAGAGCTGACACCAGCCCGCAGCAGCGCCACGTGCTCTGTTCGCTTCCAAGACAACAGGCCAACAGATGGGGTTCACGCAAGCAGCGAGGGGGAATTCAAAGGGAATCAGAAAGGGCACTTACAATAACCATCAGTGCTTTGCGGGGTGGCTAACAGAGATCTCGAGCTTTGTTACCAGGTGAGTACCCAGCTTTTGTGGTGCTACAGTGAGCTTGGTGACACAGAGAGGCTGTTTCTCTATTTATTGCAGCAGATTAAAATCCTGCCCCACCTGACAGGATTTTATACATCCTCTGCAACAGCGTACAAGGACTAACACTGCACGAGGAGAATCAGGCCTTTGGTGCTCTGCCTTGCAGGGGTGGAGGCTTCACTCGCATGTTTTTTAAGAAGACAAAAATATTTCCTGCCCATGTAGAGCAAACACAGGGTTTTAACTGCAGCAGCCCCAACCCTCTGGCCTCCAGCCTCAGCTGGGACTCGGTCCCAAAAACCCTTGCTATTTCTGTCCCTCTCTTACATACCTCTGCAGGCAGGCGGCTGCTGCAAGAATTACTGTGGGGGTAAAAGAGCATTTGGAAGGGTTAGTCTAGAAACCACGGCCAAACAGGGTTTGAAAACATTTGTGCTCTCACAGGGCCTGTACAGATACAGGATCCATGGTACAAGGTATAAATATTTAACGAGCTTGGGTTTGAACTGTACACAAGGGTAGAAAGGCCAGCCCGTTCCTGCAGATGTTACAGGCAGGAGCCAGAACCAGTTTTCCCCAAAATACATTGGTTTTTGGTGTATTTGGCCTGTGTCACCTAAATCAAATATGTGAAAAGCCAAAACAAACCATAAAACTCAGCAAGTTATTTGTGATGTGAGGAATGGTGCCCTGGAAGATACAAGCCAGAGCCCTGAGGAAGCAGCTTTTGCAGACTGAGGTACCCAAGTCTCCCCCATGTCCTGACGCCTCTGGATTTCAAGCAGGGTGCGAGTTGCCCACCTCAAGCTGGTACACAACGGGGGTCAGAGGACAGAGCCAAAACACACCCTCCAGCGCTGCGCTACACCCAGCCCTCCTCCTGATCCCGTCCTTGCCTCTGACTGGGACCAGCACTGACAGACCTGGTGCTTGGCTTGAGGAGGCTGCAATTAGAAGGAAAAATCATAAAACACATCATTAATTTGGCAGAGAAAAAGCCACCATCACAACCCCTACCATGAAC